CAGCGAATTTAGTCGAGAAGGCAATTAGACTACAATCCACGCGACCGGTGGAGGCCGTTTTTGCTACCCGACGTATCACTTTCCAAGCCAACCGATTTTCCTATGTCGTCCAGCATTCTCCTTGTGATGTATCAACAGAAGTAGAAGATCCGTTGGAAGATATCCCCAAGGAAAATCTCTGTGGCGCCCTTCGAGCAGCCGTCATCAGTAGGGTAGGGAGGTCCGAAAACAAAATGCTATGTGATTTTATTCGCCATTGTCGAACTTGGTGAGAGATCGCCATCACAACTGCTTCGCCACATGCTCAGTCTTCTCCGCGGCCGTAAGGTAGCGATGGAAATCATAGCCTAACTATGACTCGACAAACTCCCACCCTCCATGTCCCAAGTCATCAGTGCTTTCGTTGATGACGACAGCTTGGAGTAGCTAGTCCAGGTGGCGGATAAAACCCAGGAAACCTACCCAAGTAACCCCGTAAACTCCATCTCTCGCCTTACATCGACTACTTCCAGGGATTCCGATCCGATTCTTGTTCCCATATCACAACTACAAGCAAAGTCTGATACTTCGACCGATCGCCTACAACGGCTAGAGATCAACAATCATCGACCACGTTCACGATCCCGATCGTCGTCTCGTGCCCGTCCTTTTTGGTGTTTGTATCACCAAGCTTTCGGTCCTCAGGCACGCAAATGTCAACCGCCTTGTTCCTTCGAGCCGCGAGCCAACACCCCTTTCAACAGCCCGCTCGGTCAGTAACGGCGACGACTGTCTGTGGCCCTCCTCGCACTAGTCACCTATTCTACATCACCGATCGTTCAAGTGGTCTACGTTTCCTCGTAGATACGGGAGCTGAAGCTAGCGTGCTACCACATAAGAATCCACTTCCCGATTTTGCTTCTTTTTCCTTATAAGCAGCTCACGGTACCGACATCGCTGCATACGGCGAACGTTCCCCTACCCTTCACCTCGGATTGCGACGTGCGTTCAAGTGGATCTCCATTTTGGCCGACGTCCATACATTCGTCATTCGTGCAGACTTCCTGGCCCACTACAACTTATCTGTCGATGTTCGACACACGCTAACTTCCCTTTCAGTCAACGGAATTAGTGCCCCAACTTCATCCACAGATATCCGAGTTATCTCACGGGATTCACATTTTGCTGACATACTTGAGGATTTTCCAACCTTTACTCATCCATGTCAGTACACCCAAATGGTCACCCATTCTGTCGTTCACCACATCCAGACGAGCGGTCCACCTGTCCATACCAACCCCCGCCGAATTCATCCGGATAAGCGACAAATCATGAAACACGAGCTCGAACACATGCTCGAACTCGCCATCAGCCGCACATCAAGTCACTGGTCGTCACCCCTACATATGGTACCCAAGAAATCTATAGGTGATTGGATACCATGTAGAGATTACCATTATCTGAATAGCGCCACTACCCCAGACAGGTATCCTATCCCACATATCCACGATTTCGCAAGTACCTTATGCCACACAAACATCTCCAAAGTCGATCTCGTACGTGCATACTACCACGTACCCGTAGCCCCGGATGACATCCCCAAAACTGACACCACAACACCGTTTGACCCTTTCGAATTCACGTGTATGCCATATGGTCTTCGAAATGCTCAAACGTTTCAACGTTTCATGGACGAATTTTTACGTGGTTTACCTTTTGTGAGTGCTTATCTTGACGATGTTTTAATCGCTAGCACCTCCCCTTTTGAACATGCAGCTCATCTCAGGGCGGTGTTTGAACGGCTTTGCATTTAAAACACACGCTTAAATATCGGCGAATGCTTATTCGG